GGGGCGGCGGCAGCGAGGTAGGGGCGGCGGCAGCGAGGTAGGGGAGGCGGCAGCGAGGTAGGGGCGGCGGCGGCTCTGCCCGCGGTCGCTCGGGGTCCTGGCCACGCGCAGCGCCCCTGTCCGCGCGGCCCCACGCGTGCCCGCGAGCTCGGAGCTCCGCGGGGTTGCGCGGGGGGACCCGAGAGCGCCGCGGAGCCCCCCGCGCTGCGGCCTGACCGGGCCCGGGCTGCCCCGCGCTGCAGCCCGCCTCGGTGCCACGGGTGCGCGTCCCCAAGTGGGAGCCCTGGGAGCGGCGGCGGGCGCGACACGGCTCCCCTGCACCTCGAGCCTGCCCTGGAGGCCCCTCCGCTCAGGGCTGCGTGGCTGAGCCCACGCGGGTCAGGGTTTAGTGGGAAGCGAGTGCGAACAGAGGTGCGGGGCACCGCAGGCGCCTCATGAAGCTGCCGTGCCGCGGGCCCGCAGGCTGCCGCCACCAAGCCCCGCCGTCCGAGCGCCTCAGAAACCGCTCCTGCCGCAGCGCCGTGTTCCTGTTCGGAATGGAGCGCACCGCGGGGGCGGCTGCGCTGGGGTTACGGCTCCCGGTGTGCGGCGGGGCCCTGCTGCTGCTGTGAGTGCCGCTGAAGTGCCCCTTACAGAAAGCAGCTCTCCAGAGCAGCCCCGCACTCCCGTTCGCTCCGTGAGCTGCAGCTTCGCGTGTTGTGCTGGAAGAGCACAAGCTAATGCATTCCCGAGCTCCTAGGGGGGGTATTTCCACGTGCAGCCGCAGCCTCAGCGCCCAGGCACCTGATCCAAAGGGCTCTCGTTCCGCAGGGTGCGCAGCTCTCGGCCGACGTGGAGCCGTTCGTGCCCCGCGCGCGGCTGCCCGGCTGCGCCGCCGCCGGCCGCCCCTTCCCGACGGAGACGGCCCTGCACAGGTACGGACCCCAGCACGGACACTGGCGCGCAACCCCTTCCACTTGTGTCCCTCTCTCCAGCTCCTCACATGGAGCGGGTCATGAGCCAGGGTGCAGCTGTGACCTGCTGATGGTCTCATGGTGGAAACTCTCATGCAGGATTTAGGGTTTTTTTAGCGTTTCTGCTTTTGGAGCCTCTATCTGGGACCTGCAACAGACACGGGAAAGCTGGGTTCCTCTCCAGCGGCCATCTGGCTGCTTTCCGCTAGGGAGGGAGCTTGGTTCAACCCTTGGCTGGCAGAACCAGGTGACCAGGCCATGACAAACACGGTTGTGTTTTCAAAAGAGGAGCGAGACCCCCAAGGAAGTTCCTCCTACTATAAAGCATCTAAATAACATGTGGGCTCTTTTCTACATCTCCTTCCCCTCTTATTCCCTACCCTTCTTCCCCTAACAGCAGTTTCATTAACTGAGTTGGGGGTAGGTCTAAGTTTTTCGAGGCCTAGAAAGAGGCCCTGAAGTACAGATTTACAAACATAAACTCTGCAGCAATCTAGAAATAAAATCTTCTTATTAGGATAAGCAATAACAAAGTTTTGTAGGAACCTTGACATGTTCCATAGTTCTGCAGAACACAAAACAATGGATTCATTTTGCAGTTATTGCAAAATTATTGCAGTGTCCTTAGAAATCCAGTTAGAGCCTTAGGGAACAGAGTCGTAATCTTTCTTAGTGCCTCAACCACTTTATGCAACAGGGATTTTCAGTATTTTAAACCCATTTTGCTTTGCAATTTAAATTTGTCAGTGAGGCAAGTGTAGCCTGAGCTGCAGTATTCTTCAGCATCCAAAAAAACGTCCCAGCTGACAGCAGCAGTTTGGCTTTGCTGGGGTTGAACTGTAGTTAACATTTTAACTCAGAAGTGTTATTTTTGTAACTGTTATAAAAATTAGATGCAACTTTTTCAAGTTCAGAGCTTTCCTTTTTTGTTAATGAATTTCGGACTTCAGTATGTACTTTCTGCAGAAAGTATAGAAAGAAATTGGAAGAGAACTTTGAGTTTTTACTTTTAAAGAAAAAGGCAGACTGCAGGCCTGTTTTCGTTAGCTGTGATGGCCAAGTGCAGCTGTCCATGTCACAGTTTTATAATCCTGGATTGTATTTCAGCCTTATACCCTGTAGTGTGCTCTACTCTTATTTTACTACTGAGGCATTTTAAGGCAAGTTTTACTACTACTTAGCATTTCTGTTTTTTTCGAGTCAAATATGTAATGCATGCATGTAGTTACACTTTACTTTGGTTTGTTCCAGAAGAAAAAGCCTACCAAAATATGTGGAATTTGGTATTCCTGCAGAGAAAGGGTGCTTGCCAGTATAATGCACAAATGTTTATCTATACAATTATCTATACAATGACTTCTCATGTCTTTCTCAATGTCTCTCACAAAGCATCGTGGCAGATCCCAAGCTCGGGGAGTACTCCAGCTGCCTTTACACGCCTGATGTTATTTCAAATGTGTATCCAGTAGCCAGCTCTCAGTATCATTCCAGTAACTTGGCATACTATAACCATTCCGTGAGAGTCAGTGAATCTGCTGAACAAACATACCTGCTCAGACCGGAAAGTAGGAGTGTTCCAAAGGTAAGCAAATACACTATGTCAAAAATTAAGACATTCTTGTTTTGTCAGTCTTCCTAAATGTTGTGTTCATTTGTGATGTTAATATTCACTTTCTGTTCTTGTAGTAAAAAAAAGTAACATTTAAAAAGGATGGTGGTATTAACATAGTCAACTGTAGATTTCAGTAAAGTTTATGAAATTCTGTCGTTTGAGCAATGACAGCTTTTCAGGACATATATCTGGAAAATGAGAAGCCAGGATTTTCTTTCTCAGAAAGTAGAATAGAGAGGTAAGATGGTCACATATTTGTGACGGCGCTTTACCTCGTTCAGGTCCTTAAAGGCCCTCAAGCGCTGGGCCGTTTTCAGAGCCTTGTGTCAGCCTCAGTAAGCTGAGCTGAATCCAGTGGCTGCAATCTCCTGAGCATCTGATTGGTGATACAGGCCACATTTATCCACCTGCTGCAGTCCACAGGGATGAGAAACTTGTACTGGGGTGCAGAGAGAAGAAGGGTTAATGGTTGACATGTTCTCCTTCCATAAAAAAGGAAAACGAAAGTTTAATAAACATTGAAAGAATAAGCGAGCTGGGACTGTTCAGCCTAGAGAAGACTGAGAGGGGATCTGATTAACATGCTCATGAAGGGGGAATGTAGGGAGGAAGGGGCCAAGCTCCAATCAATGGTGGCCAGTGCCAGGACAAGGGGTAATGGGTATAATTTGCAGCACAGGCAGTTCCATCTCCATGTGAGGAGGAACTTCTTTACCGTGAGGGTGACAGAGCCCTGGCACAGGCTGCCCGGGGAGGCTGTGGAGTCTCCTTCTGTGGAGATCTTCCAGACCTGCCTGGATGCCGCCCTGTGCCCTGGGTGTCCCTGCTTGAGCAGGAGGGTTGGCCTAGGTGAGCTCTAGAGGTCCCTTCCAACCCGTTCTGTGATTCTGTGGTCTAGTGTGATTTTAAGTGTGTGCCCATTTCAGGATAAATTCTGTGAAACCTAGATAAAATTTTCAAACAAGGAATAGACAAGCTACTCAAAATGTAAAAATAAGAATAAAAAGCATATTTTTAAGCTATTTCTCTCTTGTTATGCACTATGACTCTTTGATTATATACAATAACCTTAAAAATTCAAATTCTTCATACTCCAGTTACATCTTTCTGGGTAGGCCGTCTTCCCTGGGCAGAAACCTGCTATCGTCACTGTGATCAGGCTTGTGTAGAACTGCAAGTTCAGATCCCTAAGCATGCATTAATAGATACATTACGAAAAAAAAAGGCTAGAGACCTAAAATAAGCATTCTTAGTGCTGAGCTGAAACTTACGTACCGATGCCATATGGCTCACAATAAAGGTGGAGTAATAATAAATCTAATTTAGCCTCTGGGAGGAGTTCTGTGGTGTACACAGGGCTGCACTCAGTGCTGTTCGGTGGTCTTTTAAGCATGGTTTCATGTTCATTTACTTTGTGAGCTCAAAGAAAGAAGTTACTGACTTGGTCAGCTTTGCACTTATATGAGCACATCTTGTAAGGCCTTAATGTGTTTACTTTGAAGGTCAGGAAGTTGTTGTTCCTCTGGCCCAAGACAAAAAAAAAATAGTTGCAGCAGATGTGCTTAGTCCAATATCCTGTAATTAGAAAAAAGGTTAAGCCACTCATCTGTGTTGCCACAGGTACATGTGTGGTGTGGTTTTTTTTTTTAACCTGTTTATACCATACTGATTCCTAAATCCAGCTTCAGCAAGGCACATTGTCTAGTGAGAATTACAAAACTTTAGAATTTGTGGGCATCACATGGGTGCTTCTTTTCAAATTACTTTCTGGATGCTTGACATCTTTTGGATGTTGCAGGCACATAGTCTTGAATGGTTTTGCCCCTAAAATGTAGATTAGTCACAGGCTTTGAATGCTTAATGGATTTTAGGCCTTTTCTATCTGAAACTCAATTCTAGAAAGTCAAACTGGATGATATAAGGTGAGATTTAGATTATAAACTATCAGAAAAATGCTCAAATTATTTTTAATGAAATCTTGAAAGTATAGTTGTCTAGAAGCATGTGAGTTAGATCAATCTCGATTAGGTTACCATGTAGGTTAAAAGTAGCATAGTTAATCAAATATAAATAGGATTCAGTAATAAATCACTAACTGGCTCTTCTTCTGATTTTTATTGGTTATTGAAGGTTGTAGTGTACCACTGTTTATGATGTATTAACTTACAGTTCAAATCCAGATGCACATTTAGCTGTAACTCAGGTTATGCTAGGGTAGTTTTGATAGCTTATCAAAGCTCAAATAAAATCAACTAAATATGTCACAAATATTTGCAGCAGAGGAGGTCTAAAGAGGGTGAGAAAAAATCAGTCAAGAAGAGGCATGATGGAGATGGTTCTTCAGGCAGAATTGCAAACAGGACTTCTTTCCAGACCTCTGCATGCAGTAGGGATCCCATGAAGCCAGGTAAAAATGTGCTCTTTGCTTACAAGTATTGAGAGCAGATGCAAAATTGATTGTGCTATAGCCTCTGTTTTGTGACCATGTTCCTCAATATGTAACAGTTAAGGAGTAGTCTTTTTCCCAGGTAACTCTGTGGCAAGAGATGATGACTTTCCTTTTTTGCCAGTTTCTCAAGTTCATGTAGACTGATACAAAGAATTTAATAAGCAAGTGCCTGAAATTGCAATTGCTCTAGATTCAGTGATGTTTATGCCTTTTGTCTCTAAGAGCTACGTTTTCTTTTTTTTTTTTTTTTTTTTAATATGAAGGAAGAGTAGCCATAGTTCTTGTCACAGTTACTGCGGTTATGTAGTGGGGTGCTCTAAGACATGCACAGATTTGATCACGGGCCAGTTGTGTTACTTTGACTTTCTGTACTTTATTCAGACAGGTTCAGTACAGCTACGAACAGGAAGACCACACAAACTCCAAAAAGGGAGAGCCTTCCTGAATCTGCCTTTGAAGCTCCTGTTTTGGATTTCTCCAAATCACAGTGTTTGGGAGGCAATGAACTGGATGTACAGTGTAGAAATGTGTCAGTTTGTTCAGAAGAAAATAACACGATGTGCCTTAGTCAGACGTTGAAGATGCAGACGTCTCCTGTGTGCAACACAGAGGTTAGCTGATGTTTTCGTGTTGTGGAGCAACATGACAAAATTTAAAACCATAAACATAAGATAAACAAAAAAAAACCCATAAAATATAAAAACAAAACAAGTATAAAGTTCAGGAAGTTATTTTTGCATTCTCTGTAGTAATTTAATGCCTATGTAAGCATCTCGTGAGGAAGCTTCCTAGCCCAAGGTATTACATTTCTTTCTGGTGCAAGTGCTGTCTATCTTCTCTTTTTCTCACTCTTCCATCCCTGACTACAATGGCAGTAGATAGCAGAAAGCTATGTACTCTTAGAGTATAGACTGGTGATCTTGTGGCTTGGATTTCTAGCTTGTCTGTGCACAGTACATATATTCCAAGAGGTTTCTTGGTAGCTTTCTGATTTATTCAAATTTTTGATTTATTTGATTATTATTTCCTCCCAGAAATAATATGTAAGCAGCCATTTATCCAGCAATCTTAACAGAAAAAAAAGAGGATTTTTGTGTCTGTGATATTGATCTTAATTGTTGTGTGCTAAGGGATAAAGTCAAGAAAGTGAGTTGCTGCAAGAAAGAAGCAGATATTGTTAAAACATATGGGTTGCCTAATTTGATTCTTCTTGTTCATTTCTTTATTTCCCTGGTTGTTACTAAGTACAGTACTAATGTGTTCAGCAGCATTTCAGCTGTGTTGTATCAGAGCTTTCAACAGTGATTAAGGATGATCTTTCCTTTTGAAGGATCTGAATAATATATTTTTTCCAGTCTTGCCTTTCAGTGGAGATATCTGTGATGGAAACAATACCTTTTTCATGACACTGACATTCTCCTTTTCATTGCTAGTTTGAATTTGATGATGGACTTTGTTTTTATTGTTTTTAGAAAGTTAGGATTTTTATGTCTGTTTTGAGATTTATAGCTTGGGTGCTGCTGTGAAATTTAATCCAACATTATCTTGCTTGTGTAGTAGTAAACAGTCATATACTGTTATATACTTGCATTTTATAGTGTTATAGGGTCCAGATTGTCCTTGTAAGCAGAACAATAACAACAAAAAAGGACTATAAAATTCCCTACACCTTGATCTGTGCATTAATTTTATTATTATTGTTCAGTTTAGGGCAGTGCTTATATTCCTATTTGTATGATATATAACCATCTATTTTTCAGGAAGATATTTTTGTGGAAAGCAAAGCTCCATCAAAAGTTTTATATGAAGCAGTAGCCACTGTAGTTCCTCCTTCATTTGATGGCAGAGGTAGGTACAACAGACATAAATTATTTTCTTGTATTTTAACTGTTCATCTCTTGGAAAAATATAAGTTTTTGGAGGAGTTGTTGATCGATAACATAAGCAAGGAATTAAACAAGCTCATTACAGAACAAACAGAGAACAACCCCAGCCCTTATTTGGGCCCTTTTACTAAAGCAAACTGGTTGTTCTTTATTTGCAATACCAAACTGATATGAGTAGGTTTTGTAATTTGAAACATTTTTATATAACTTCTTTTTTTTTAAATACTAACACTAATCATGAAAATAATTAAGATGAGCAATAATTTAAAATAATGTTCAAGAGCATTGAACACTATTTTAGTGTTCACATGAGTGAGAACTGCACTTCTAAAATATCTTGGAAGCAAGTATTTGAATGAATTCAAATTTTCTTCTATTTTTGTTAATATGCAAGTTGATCGTGTGCTATGCAGTGTGCACCATTTTAATGGCTTTGGTCAATTTTAAGTGCCAAGAAAGCTTCATCAGTTTCTTTCAAATGAGATAGTCCCTGATGGCTCACTCTTACCTACAGATTTCATTGGCAGATCAGAACTTTGATTGTCCTGTTTTTCTCTGTGGATGAATTGATGTTTAGCAACCATTGTTGCTGGAGTTGCCTCCTCTGTTGATTATGAGGAGAGTGGATAGTGCCTATTGATTTATTGAAAGTCTGTTGAGTCATGTTCAGATTTTTTTCAGGAAGAAGCAAGAGGTGAGTATTTGATCAGTCTGGGTAGATTTGCTTTCAATAGCTGATGGCCCAGTAGGTGTCTGTTTTTATTCGTGGCGTGTTGTTTTTGTCAAGGTTGTTAAATATAGAAGATTTCAATGGAGTACTGTGATATTCGGTGTATGTGCTGAAATGTCCTACTTGTTCTTGCTTACGTGAGTTGTGGCTGTGAGGATGCAGATGTGTGTGCTATTTTTTTTTTAATAGCCACAAAAATATAAAGTGGCTAGTTTGGAGTAAATATTTAAATGTAATTGGGTCACCCTAGTCCCAAATTGTGTGATTTGTCATCAAGATTCATCCTGGAGTCATCAAATGTGTTATGTGATGATACATGCCAATCCCTGTACTGTTGCACCTGTACAGAAGTGCAGCAGTCTGAACAGTTCAATGTTTATCTTCCCTCTGACTGCTGTAAGGATTCAAAAATGTCGGCGTGATCTGCTTAAGTGTGTGGAAAAGCCTACTAACGATAGGTTTTTTTTTCCAGAAGTTTTGAAGTCACCTGGTATTTATTTTTCCCCCAGATCCTGGGGCAGTCCTCCTGGGTTCTTATTCCACAAAATAAAACAGCTGCAATATTTGTTTTCTCTTGTTCTTAGAGAAGTTTTTAGATTTTGCTAAATATTTGTTGTGTGCTAAGAATATTTTCAAGTATTCATTAAAAATACTGGTATCTCTGAGTGGCACTACGGATGAAACTCTTGCACACTAAAGCACATAAAAAAAAACCTCTTAAGCATATAATAAAAAAAGAAGTCTAGAGAAACTAAACATGCCAGTGAGCATCTTATTTGACTCTTTTTGAGCAAAGAACATGGTTCACTACTATACTTGATAGTGCTTTATTCATTCATTACTGATCTTTTGCTTCTGAATCGCTGAGAGTTATTTTTGTGAGTTCTTTGGATATAGCTTTTTATGCAACAGCACTTCCTCAAATCTCTGCAGATGGTTCTGCTCAGCCACGTGTGTCTTGGGCCATGGTTCTTTCCCAGCCCCCAAAGAAAATTGTGTCGTCATCAGCAGCTGAAGGTCTCTCCAGAAGCAAAGGGAAGCAGGATAATCTGGCAAAGGTACTTGAGAACTGTCTGCTCTAAACACTCTAAACATTTCTGTTACTGTATAATGGTGTCTCTTGACATGATTTATTCTCATTTTTGGTAGACTCCATTCACTCTATTCACGGTGTCTACTTCTAATGTAGCTTTTAAGAACTAATAAAATTATCTTGTATATATTAGAACTTTGTATAGTTAAAAAGAGTGACAAGACAATGCAGCTGCAGCAATGCTAACTTTCAAAACAGGTGATTCAAATACTTCTAAGCTGGACATATTTTCAAATTTCTGACTTTGGATTCAGACAGGAAACAGGAAAACCCAGCCTTACTATGGAAAATCTCAGTTGTGCAGAAATGTTCTGATAACTGGCTAGTCCTCCTGCATTACCCCTGAATTTATGATAGATCTTAAATTCACCTTTCTATTTAGTATTCAATAATAGGTTAACTAAGATGTGCTTTAGGTGTGTGGGTTTGGTCACTTGTGATTAGTTTGAATTTGCTTTTTATTTTTATTTTCATATTGAACTAAATAAAAATATAGCAGTCACTCCTTACGATTTTTTGTCTACAGTCAGAAACAAGAAATGATGCTAGTGAAACTGAGCCTGAAGAGGGATCAGAAAAGAAGAAAAAAAAGAAGAAAAAGAAAAAGAAACTTAAATCACCCACTGAAGAAGAAAAACCTCAAACTGAAACTGCTGCAGTGCAGGAACCACCAAGGATTGAGGTACAGTGGAAAGATGGTGGTGGTTGTGATTGTGTTTATTTTTCTTTGAGATGGAAGGGCCAGATGTAAACCAGCTTTCTGCATATTAAAGCTCAACTCTCTTTTGTAGAGGCACTGTTTCAGTTAATATGTGTGTTACCAGAACTTTGTCAGAATTTACAGGTAAGGAAGAGGCAATCCTTCTCATTTACCAAGGATTCAGTGAGCAGAGAGGAGTTCAGTAGATGCACATGGAAAGCAACAGACAGGAAAGACTCAGGAACAAATTTGGAACGATGAATCTCAAGTGTCTGGATGTTAACGAGTTCTGAAATAAAAGTAATTTAGTGTCCTGGGTACCATAGTGATGCCATGGTTTTAAAGAATGTGGCACTAATATATCCTCAAGACTGGAAGGAGTTTTTATAAGTATAGTTGTCACTGATTGTTTATTTCCCTGTTTGGAGCATTTTAGTAACTAATTGCAGATTTTTTTTCCTATTCAGTTTAGTCCAAGTATAGATACTAGCATTTTGATTCTTCTATGTATCAGTATCATGAGTGCTTTAGACTCTCCCAAGTCTGGAGAATTGCCGCCTGGTCTGTGGTCAGGTCTCTGTCTTCAGGTCTCTCATAGCCTTCTGTGATGGGGTGACAGGCTCGGTGAATGAGGGGAGAGCTGTGGATGTTGCCTGCCTTGACTCCAGCAGTGCTTTCGACACCGTCTCCCATAACATTCTCATGGGGAAGCTTAGGAAGTGTGGGTTGGATGAGTGGACAGTGAGGTGGATTGAGAACTGGCTCATAGGTTGTGGCCAGTGGTGCAAAGTCTGCCTGGCGGCCTATAGCTGGCACTGTCCCCTGGGGCCAATACTTGGTCCAGTCCTGGTCAACCTACTCATCAGGGACCGGGGTGAAGGGACAGAGTGCAAGTCTGTGACGATGGTGACGATGCAAAGCTGCATGTGGTGTCTCCTTCCTTGGAGATGTTCAGAACACATCTGGGTGCAATCCTGTGCAGCGTGCCCAAGGCTGTGTCCTCTGCTATGTGCAGGACATTACCAGAGCCGTAAGTTGTATTGCTGGCTTGTTTTTTAAAAACCACTGATTTGTAGAACCTGCTAGAGAGCGTGAAATGATGCATGTGGGACAGGATAATCCTGTCTGTATGTACACAGTGACAGCTCTGAACTAGGTATTTTCCTTCAGGAAAGAGTTTTGAAGTTGCTATTGATAATTAGGCCAGTGCTGATTGCACAGGTCAGATGTGCAGACAGTGTTAGGAATTATTAGGAAAGAAGAAAAGAAGATGGAAGATGTTATAACCACATAAAAATCAAGGACATGCCTGATCTAAATAAAGGGTAGATTCTGTTTTCTTGCCTGTTCTGCGCTCCTTGAAGTCGTGTATATATGCATACACTCATAAAGATAGAGGAAATATTCCAGGAATGATCAAAGATGTGACCAGTTTTCAGTATGAGGAAGCATTGAATAAACCAGGGTTTGGCAGTCTGTGAAACAGAGGACTAAGAAAGAATCAGAAGTGACAAGGAAATAATAATAAGTTATTTTTCTCATAAACTTGTTTGATGTCCTCTGGGTGTTGTGGGTAATGAGAACGAATAAAAGGAGGTGCTTTATCATTCCCAGTGCTAGATCTTACCTTTTATTGAAAATGCTCAAAACTTAGGTGAATTCAAAAAGTGATTGAGCAAGTTGAAATATTTCTTTTTTTCCCACTGAGTGCTTTTTAAATCTAGATATTACCTTTGGTTCAGGAAGTCCCTAAGCTGGAAGAGTATGTTTGTAAATTATTTTTTCCTTTCTTGCATTTTTCTTTTGGTAGACTTAAAAGCTTCTTTTGAAATTAGTATATTGAGTTAAGGTATGACAGCTCTCATGCTGCCTGCTTTTATGGGGGGCTTGATTAGCACAGCCTAATTAAGTGCAGTTTTAGGGCACCACAAGTAGCATTGGTGTGTTCAGCAGTATTTTATCACAGCTAAAAAGTGCAGGAAGAAACGGTCAGGAACCCTGAGGGATGAACATCGTCGCCGGTTGAGGTCGGCAGCGGCCACCAGGTGGCCTTGCACAGCAAGCGCCAGCGTGTCTGGTTTAGTAAATCCCACTGCTAGTGGAATTGACTCATGTATCCAAGTGCACATAATCACTTGACTGAGTATATGGAAACGCTGTGGAATACGGAAAGCTCCATGACTGAGTTACGACCCTTTTGTTTGCCCTTTTGTTCTTCACTGCTCCCGTGTTTAAGGCAAGATTGCACAGCTGCAGACTGTACTGGAAAAAAGAGGGAAGTGGCTTACAAGGCTTTTAAATGATCTGAAAAACACCCATGTAGGAGCCATTGAAGTCTAATTATTTGCATCAGATGACAGTAAAAGCAAGCTGCTGTTGAAAGCATTTCAGTAACTCTTTCATCCCTGAATCAGCTGCTGCTACTGCTGACTCATAGGTGACTCAGTCCCTATAGAGCTGATTACAGTTCATGATAGACTCAGCTCCATGAATTTTTGTTGTATAAAACAAATTATGATAAGTATTTGATAAACAGCAGGGGAAAAACATTTAAACATAAGAAACCTCCATTTTAGGAACTTGAACTTGTTAGTTCAAGTTAGATACAAAAGAGTATCTTTTGTTTATTTAGGATGCTGAAGAATTTCCTGATCTGGCAGCAGCTTCTGATAAGAAACACAGATTGGGATCTCAGAAGTTGCCATTTTCTCCTGCTATCAGAAAGCAGCCTGAAGTAAGTAATTTTAGAGCTTTATTGGAATATTCATTGCAAGTTTTAAATGAAACTAAAGGTGGAATTCATCTGACTAACGTAGGTGCTGGTGATGTGAGACTGTGCCCATGCCAGTCACCTCAGTGGGCAGGACAGTGCTGAGCAGGGTGGTCTGTATCTACCCCATCCCAATGGAGGTGCTGGTTTGGTCCATGAGCTACTCCCTAAACTCTGGACAGCTGACTCATACGTAGGCACCTACGCTGTAGGCTCTTGAAGTTAGGTGAAATGAAATCTTTTTCTGTGGTTTGTCTTCCTACAGGTCATGTTTTGGTTTAATTTTGTATTTCATAATTACATTGTGCATGTAATTATGTTTTTAAGGCATCTTAACAGTGAAACATTTCAATGCCAAAATGTACAAGATCGTGAGTCACTGAACCACTGAATCCATCCCAAAAGCAAACTATTACATTAAAACTAACCTAAAGCTATGCATGTTCAAACAGAAGTGAAGAAACTCCACTGAAGTTGGACAAATCCAAGCTTTTTTTCTTTTCCGTTTTTTTTAATACAAATGTTATTCATGCATGAATCTCAGGGTTTGAGGCTATGACTGCTCTTTTAAATCAAAGGAAATAACAGAAATAATAAAAGTGAAGTTCCAGATTCCAAGATTTTATCCCTCAGTTTTGTTTCACTGTAAGCATTAGTGATTAAAAAAAAGAAAAAAAACACCTTTGTTTGCTTTACTTGGAGCAATAAATTGGATTGACAGGAGGAGTAAGCAGGAAAAGATACACAGATTGCTCAAACCAGCTTTGCTATAAAATAAGTGTACTATAGACCTGCATTTTTTAGCTTTGCAAGCTTAAGTGCAATATAGCTTCTCAAAAAGTACATATATGTGCAGACCTCCAGTCATTAAGACACACGTGCTTTTCTGTAATAAATATTTGAAGAGTAAGGTGCTTGCTGTTCTTTTGTTAGTTTTTTCCATCCCATTATGGGGAAAGGAAGAAAAACTTGAGTTTCACTAATCAGTACAACACCCAGTAAGCAGTTGTATTTTAGAAGAATCTTGTTTCTCACTATTTCAGGTCTAAATCATAATTTTACCCCCCCCCCTTTACTGTTAATAGTCTGACTAATAAGTTCTCTTTGAATTCTGGTTTTTCTTTTCTTTCTCCTTTAAATATTTTCCTTCTTGTGCCTAAATTTCAAAGGGTGATCTTCCTGAAGAGTCCTGTGATAGTTGCTTTTCCAAGCTGGATGGAATACCCAAAGTGGATGGGACATCAGGGAAGCAAACTGCATCTGTTGCATTAGAAAAAAAGAAAATGCAGGTAAACTAAATTCATGTTTAAAATGAAGTTGGCAACGCAGAATGACTAAGTCCTACATATTTCAATGTGGGACTTAATTCTGGCTGTATTCCTACTTTGTAACAAAGCAGGACAAAACAAAGCTTTGTAACAAAGTAGAACAAATTCCTAAAATTCCTCTGCACAAAGTGACAAATTCCTCTTGTTTGTGAATACTCAGTGGTCATAGTTGTTAAGTCCCAATGTCAACATTGCAGTTTTTGAGGAAAAATACTAGCTTTCCATTAATATATGCATATTTCAGATATCAGGAATTATTACTTGATCATGATGTAAGTCCCATTCTAACCGATTGTCTTTAGAAGTTGACAACCACTTAAAAATAGCTCTGTCTCATTTAGATAAGGAGGTCCACTTAGCTTGGAGAAATGAGGAGGAAATGGAGCAACAATGAGGTTGCTCTGATGTGAGAGGTGAGTATGTAGTTCCCTGTGGATGAGTAGGTTGTTGCACAGCACTGATGCAAGGTGAGGTCCTGGGCTCAGAAGGAGAAAGTCACATCCTGTAACCTAACTGTAATTGTAACAGAGGCTGTGATAAATTGAACCTCCACAGTAGGGCTTACAAAAGTACAAAGTCTGTGAGTCATTTCCGTAGTGTATTTTGCACTAGTAGGTTACCCCTTCCTAGTCTTTGCTAGACTGTTCATGTCTAATAACATGAATGTTCTTCTCTTAACTTCTAATCTGAAATGTGACACCATTATTATTTGAATTATTGAATGTGATGCCAAGTGTGTGCTTCAAAGCAGACGGAAAGGTTACTGTTAGTTTACCAAGAGATGGTGCTTAAACGAAGATCTAATGCCCTGTCTTTTTAAAAAGCAGATGTGTATGCATGGCAGTCATGTGCCCTAGAAGATTCATACGGTACCTGAGATTCTTCTATGCTTTCCACTCAACTTTGCAGATCTGTTCAGACTTCTTTTCTTTCTCCAAGATAGGTGGCAACTGGGTCAGAGTAAGAGCCTGACATGAAGCAGCTGTTTTTAATAAAGACATTCTTATGCTTTATCCCAGGAACTAGTAAAAACAATTCAAATAATTTATTGCTACTTTTGGACTTCTTATTATTTGTATTAAATTTAAGCACATGTAAAGATGAAAATACTTTGATCTCAATTAAGCTGAAAATAAAATGAATTCTTAGCAAAGCTATTAAGAATATGCTATATATCTTGTGAAATAGACTTTTACATTCTGAAATGGAGGATGTTCCTAATATGTGCTGAACTTGTTAGGAAGCAAACAAGAGCAGTGGTAAGAAGAGTCAAGTTCCCGTGCAGTTGGACCTGGGCGGCATGTTGGCAGTCTTGGAGCAGAAACAGCAAACGGGGAAGTCAAAACAGTCTTCGAAACCTGTGGTGCTTTCAGGTATTGGTTATGACTATATCTCCTTTCTTTCTAAAAGCATTGCTTTTAAATGTTCAAACCTTACTTGTAGTCCCATTTCTTACATGGGATGATCTCTGAATATGCAACATGGAGCCCAGTTAATGTAACAGAGAAGAAAATCAAAGTTTAAATGAAACATGAAAAACTGAAGGAGAGGAAGCTCTTCAGGACAACGAATTGTGGGTGATTGAAAGTTAAGCCATGAGGAAAACATTTATGGTTTTAGAGGTTTTCAACGTGTGTTAAGTGAATGTGCTACTGCTGCAATGTGAACCTGCAAAAAAATCTGTTTTTAACCCGAATCAGTTCCATGATTTAGCTTGTGCAGCCTAACAAATAGTTGTGCCAGCAAAACTGAAGGTGTCATTTTGCTGTGTCAGGAACAAAGACTTTTTTAAGTTCCTATTTGCTGAAGGCCCCTGCAACTGTATCTTCACAGAAGAAGCAGCTTTGCACATACAGGGGTTACAGGAGAGACAGCCCAAACTGGAAGATGAATACTGTGGTGGCTGATAACACTGAAACCATTGCAGTTTGACAAAATTCCAGGGTTTTTTGATGGGTTTGATCTGTCAAACCTTGTGCAGATAGCTTGATCAAATATCTTGAGTAAGTAGCTCAAGTGTTTTTTGTATTAGAATGCAAAATATAGTCTCCAGTGTGTTAGTAAAATCCATTTTGCAAAATGAAATATAATATTTTCTAGATATTAATGATAAAACTTCTTTTCCTATTTTGATATTCTGGAAAGAAAGCTAATTACAGAAATATTGAACTCACACTTCTTAATTTAATAGCTGTCCAGTTTTTTGAAGAAAAGGCAGAAAATACTGAGCATCACTGAGATTTGCCTTGACTGGGACAATTTGTAAGATTTTTTTAATCTTTTTTTTTTCTTTTTGCAAATGAAAAAGAAAATGTTTTTTTTTTTTTTTAAAATTGGAGTCAGTCAAGTTTAGAGCTGCAGAGGTGTCAGGAACCAATATTTAAAATTATGCAGTGCATGGATTGTCAAAATAACAGGGGAGGACAAGTTCATGGGTCAAAATACCTGCTTTCTAATATTAAGTAGCTCAAATCTAGAAGTGCTGGACAAGAGGAATTGATGCGTCATGCTGATTTCCTGGAAGTATAATGTAGATATTACCTCAGCTTTATATTTTATAATAGTGCACATATTAAATCCATGTATACCTAAATGTAAGTTTGGTTTATAAAATAACATTGTACTGAGCTGCATATTCAGAAAAGTAAAAAGTGGACAGGAAAGGTAAGGAATGTGACTGCAGCTTAGAACTTAATTTCATAAATAAAGTGTGAATGAAACAGCAGCTTATAGCACTGGTTATATGAATTGAGACTGAATTTTGGAAAGCGTCAGTTATGCATGGTGACATAAACTGTGAAAGCCATCAAGAGCTCTCTGAATTTGAAATGAACGAGTGATATACATACTGAGAGAAATGCTGGGTGCTTAAGGGATATATACTTACATATTGCTTCAAATCCCATTACAGTTATGGTTCTTCTCTTTAGCAACCTGTGGTCATATACTACATTACATCTGTGGCAGTGCTGTGAGTTTGTATGTCTTCCAGTCAACAAAAATAGAGAAGTTGTATGTGTTACTGGAGGATCAGCATATAAATACTTCAGAAGCACTAATGAAGATGGCTTAAGACAAACTGCCAGGATGCTTGCGTGTGTCCTGGGGAATGAGTCAATCTTCTTCCTCTCTTACGCACGTCATCCTGTTCAATTAATTGCTGATGTAACTTGACTTATATTGCAGGTAGCAGACCTTTGACGAAGACCCTCTTGAAAGCTTAATTCTTACTGAGAGTGAGATGAAAACGGAGCCCAGTTGTTAGGATGTCAGATAAGGATTTGGAAGTTCCAAGTCCAGTGTCTTGTCCAGTCCAGTGTCTTGTGTAAAATGCAAGTAAAATAGACTTACCTTCTAAGAACTTTGTTGATAAGCAAATAAGATTCAGCAGTAGCTTTACACTGTTCATTACTCATGTGCAAATTAATGTCACCCAATTTTAAGGGAATGAAACAAATGGTAGGAGTTAGTGCTACAAATGGTTTACAGCAATTAAGTCAAAAATCTCTAGTGCTGCAGCTCAGTGTGTATCTCAGCACAGCAGAATCTGATTGTGGCACTAATAGATGCAGTGGAAAATGGAGACTCCTGAAGATTTACCGAACTGAAATGGGATGTTGCTGGAGGTAGCTTGCAGTGCACAAGCTACTTCTGCCAAATACCCTACAATGTGTTTTGCCAGATACTGCTTTTGATATTGAGGGGTACAGCTCATGATTCCTGTAGAATGCTACCAGTAGAGGCATCAGTTTGTCCTGAACTTGGAAGGGAACAAAGATTATCTTTATTAAAGAATTCTTTTTAATGGCACAGGATTGCCTGTGAACACTCTAAAAGCAACACAAAGCTACTGTGTTTTCACTTGTCCTCATTCAGATATTGAACTTACACTGGGCTTTGGTTTAGGTGTGTATTACATCTGTCTCATGCAGATTTTCTTTTATTTCAGTTGGTGGTGCCATACCACTGCTTTCTAAAGAACCTGCTTCAGCAACAAAAAATAACCGATTAAACCAAGGAAAGATGCCTCATAACCCTTTGGATTCCAGTGCGCCATTGGTAAAGAAGGGAAAGCAGAGAGAAGTCCCTAAAGCAAAGAGACCAACCGCTCTTAAAAAGGTGCTCCTGTTTTTACCTGACATAATGTAAAAAGGCTAATGTAGCTTTAGTATTCTCCTCTGAGTCTGCTTATACCTCTTAGCATCAGGATCTCAATCTTGACTTTCACTTGTATCTGAATTGAACTTTAGCTTGTTTTGAAAAAAAATAGGGGGGAGAGGAGAAGGAGTCTTGTCCAGTGGCATTAAAATTCTGCCCAAGATATGTTTGCTCACTTAAGTCACTTGACAGCTCAAGGACAGACAGTATAAAAGTGTTAAAATCATTGGTATAGGGAGACAGGCAAAGCAGCTGACTTGGGTTTGGATGAGATCTGCTTATTTGCACATCTTGTGCTTGGGAAAGTGGAACAAGTGAAGGTAGTGTGTAATGTATCTGTGCTCTTCAGAGCCAGAACTTGAGCTGATTCTCCAGCAGCTAATGTCAGATCCTGAAGGTTTCTCTGATCTCTCCCTCCTTGCTTATTCATGCTTCGTCCTGTCATGTCTTCTATACAGAGTGCCCCAGTGGTAATACTCCATCCCTAGATCAATTTGGGTCTAAAAATACTCTTATGGAGCTAGGGAATGTGGTTTAGTGGTCATTCTGTGCTGGATTTGAGAATTGAGTGACATAAACTGTAGCAAACTCTAAGGGTTTGTGCATTTTGGCTCTTCTGTCCTTATGCCATGTATTCCCTAAAGTGTGAGAAGGGAAAGGTGGACATGACCTGTGTACGACATCTGTGTTCTGAGTAGGTTATGAAGCTTATTTTTGTTTTGTGTTCTTTGGCAAATGCAGATGGGCAGTTTTACCATTGTGGTTGTATTCTGTGGTGTGGTTCCTTGCAAGGTTTGGGCAGATGAGCTGAGCCAGTAGCTGTGTGTACAGCTTCTGTGTTCAGCAGCTTCTCAGCCAGATACAAAGGCAGAGAAGGAAGATAGCTTTCCAGAAATTGGTGATTACTTACAGTAGCATTTGGGTCCAGCAGATGTCCTACTCTCTGTCCTTCTGCTATGTGGATTAACTCTCTTTTGTATTTTTTTCCCTTTTCTTCAATCTACAAGTGCAGTCTTTTCTACAGTTTGCAGTTTAGTGCAGACTGAGGCTGGCTTTTGCACAAGGGAGTAAGTGGGAAAGAGTAAAGCCTTATGTAATGTGTGTGACAAAGGAGCATGCCTACTTTTAAGTGTATATGCTTGAGTGCTTGGCTGATTTCCTGCAAATTGGCAGTCTGAAGAAAGGTAAAGAGAGGAACCCTTTCATCTGCTTCTGTGCACTAAAGCAATTTTTTGCTTTAACATTATCTCAACTCTTGTAGTTGATGACTTCTCTCTCTTCTCCCTCTGGTCACTGGTAGTCAGGAAAAAAATATTTTTGATGTGTTTTTAGGGGATGTGTTGTCATTGGAATGGTATTTTAAGGAACTATGGTTTCTAGTTAAATTACAAAAATAAGTGGTAGATTTGAATGATCTGCATAATGAGTGCATAAATGAGTGCATAAATTTGTGTATAAATTATGTATGGTCTGTATGTAAGTACTTGGAGAGAGAAATTGACTTATCTGTGTGACTTTTTTTTTTTTTTTTAAGATTATTTTAAAAGAAAGAGAACAGCGAAAACAGCAGCACCTGTTAGAACAGACAGCAATGTCAAAAGATGGAGATAACATTTGTCAGACTGGAGAAAATACTCCTGAAGATGAAACACTTCCACAGGATAGCCAAGCAGGTAATTTTTTCAAGAGAAAGCTGTAATACAGTATGTGTAGATGGAGGTATGGCAGTGAGCATGTTGAACTCAGGGAGTGAGATGCCTTCCTAAATGTGGACCAAAATACTGCTAAATGTGAACTGTTGCTTTAGAAATTTTCAAGATACAGTATGGGCTTATTGAGAATTTAGAGCATGTCAAAGATGATACTCTGTGCATTTTCTCAGTATTGTTCCCATGTCAGTTTTCTGTCATTTAATTGAGATACCTTTTATTTACACATGATAGCTGTTCCTGCAACGCAAGCTGCTGTGGCTCAGAACAACTCTGAAGGGTGTCTGGAGGGTCCAGGAATCAAGGACTCTACAGAAAGCTCTACAGCTTCAAAGCAGGTTAACCCCAATCTTCCAAAAATCCACAGTAGGAGGTTTAGAGAGTAAGTTTTGACTTTTTTTTACTGCTGTCTCCTCTTCTGCAGTGCCACCGGTATGGAATCTTCCAAACAAGATAACTTTAGTTGCCTTCTGTGCGACACTAACTGGAGTTTAGGCTTAAGCTCTAAATTTTCATACCTTTTTTTTCTGTAAGTTGGCACATGCAAGTAGAACTTAAATCCAGTACTTGGTTGCAATAGTGCCTTGAAGACGAGAAATTTCTTAGAGGCCATAGAAGGAAAAAGAGCTTCCCTTGTTGTGTAAATACCCGATGTTAAGTAAATAGGATCTCAGCATAAAATTCAAGACAAAAGACTAGTAAACTGTAATTATGTTGCTTTGCTCTTTGGCTCTATGCTGCCAGGCCACGTGACAAAGTTGCAAAGAATGAGACTAGTCAGATGACATTTTCATGCCATAGCTAGACAGAGAAATAAAAGGAAGATTTATGAGTTACTTTGTACAAACACTTTAATTCTACATAAATGGAACTAAGATGCACGTTTTTCTATAAAAGGCAAAACATATTCATTGGTGTGTTTGAAGAGTTCAGAGATCCAGCATAGCAGTCATGACATTTCATAACGGTTATTTGGTTTAAGCAGTGCTTTAACTTCTTAATTTTCCTCCCATGAAGACACCACTGACCTTTTCTGCAGTTCTTGTTTACAAATTGTTTTGATCTTTTCTGATGCTGTGTGTTAGCTCTAATTTAACTCTCAATTGCATTAAACATAACTTAATTCACATCTGTGCAACAGTATTTTGCTAAAGGCCCTATTTGGATGACTCAGTCCTGGCTGTTGTAGATTGTAAAATATTCATCAAACTTTAGAATACTGTATATCCTTAGATTTGTCATTTGTAGTTTTCAGTATTTTAGTAGACTTGTTTCTGAGACTTAGTGAAACAAATTTCAAATAGTTAATGAGGCACTCCTGGAAGTTAAGTGAAATTCTGAAGTGTTGGCCTCTCGCTCATATCCTGGGTGGATCTTGGACTTTGTTCTCACAAACTAATTTTGATATTTATCTGGTGATTTTGTGCAGTTGAGTTATCTTTTAATTTTGACTGAACAATTAATTTGTGTAGAAGATACACTTGGGAAAAGATTAATTTGGAACTGAGATCTTTCCCAAGAAACAGCTCCATGAAAATCTATTACTTATGCACTTAATCTATTACTTATTTTTATCCTTTCCTTACAAAAACTACAAGGTGTGGTTACAGATGCTTACAGATAAGTGACGTAGAAAAGAAAAAATACAGATCTGCAAAGGGAGAATTGATTCAGATTTACCATCTTTATCACAAGTGGTTCTGTATTTATAGAAATGAAGTCTGATTTACCTAAGACTTTACCTAAGCCTCACTTAGATTTGAATAGATCAGGAATGTCCTCAGAAAACAGCTAGAACATTTAAAAAAAAAAAAGGGAGGTGAGGAAGGGAAGGGTTGTGTGGGAGGGACTAGGAAGGGGCTATGGGAGAGGGAGGAAAGGGTTAATATTGGAGCCATGTATCGGCAGTAGCAAACCCTTCTGCAATCTCTCGGCCACAGTAAAAATCTGAATTTCCGTTTTCTTGTACATAGCAGGTGTGTTTGGAGTGGGAATAGAGTTGGGGGGAAAAAGATGTATTTGTAATTTCAGAGTTTTTAACATGTAATTGATTTTTTTTTTCTCGCAGTTATTGCAGCCAGGTACTTAGTAAAGATGTTGACAGCTGTGTGACAGATCTCTTAAAAGAACTGGTTCGTTTCCAAGATCGCTTGTATCAGAAGGACCCGGTAAAGGCCAAGATAAAACGCCGGCTGGTTATGGGGCTTAGAGAAGTTCTGAAATACCTGCGTCTGAAAAAGCTCAAGTGTGTCATCATCTCTCCTAACTGTGAGAAGATTCAGTCAAAGGGTAAGGTTTGCTTGGTGTCGCCTGAGCTTGCTTGATAGAGGAGATGTAAAAAAGCAGACCAGTAACAGTGTGGCAGCACTCTGGCTATCAGAGGGTCTTATCTTGCGTAGCCTTTGAAATCCAGTTGTATGAAGGGCTTTTCCTGCCCAGATTGTTCACTGCTAGACTGCAACAGGAATGTGGAGCCTGGGGGGCTCTTTGAAGTGGGGGTCTCCCTGCCTGTTGCCTCCCAGCACAGCTGCACAGATGGTGGTGCTGGTGCTGCTGGGAGGAGATGGAGCTACCTCGCTAGCCACTTCATTTAGGGCATAGGCCTGGCAATAAGTGCTCAGTGATATTTTGTTTAAAATATGTTTTAGTGACTCTTGTCATTGCTTTCTACTAACTTTTGAATAATCTGTTAGCATTCAGGGTATTTTAAACCAGACTTGTATCTTTGCCCAGGTCCAAAATACTCTCACACTGAACCATGTTAGTAACTGTTGCTGTACCTCAGGTAACACAAAGCATGGATTGGTATTCTCTTTTAGAAAAGGAGATCATCAGATCTTTTTCTGAGCTCCATGTTTTCATTTTTATAAACTTTAAAAATGCCCTCACAGATCTTTCAGTACCCTCATAATCTCCTCATATTTGCAGTCTTTTGAGAATACTGTCTTGCAGGTGAGATGAGCATGAAAAGTATCCCTCTGTCTTTGCTGATTTTGTCATCTCCCGCAGGTGGGCTGGATGAGACACTGCACAACATTATCGACTGTGCCTGTGAACAAAACATCCCCTTTGTCTTTGCACTGAACCGCAAGGCTCTGGGCCGCTGTGTCAATAAAGCAGTGCCTGTGAGCGTGGTGGGAATTTTCAGCTATGATGGGGCTCAGGTGAGTTGCATGTTCATGTTCATGTTTTCCTTTAGCTTTACTTTATACTGGTTGGAAACAATACTGTTTAAATTAAAACTTTACATTTGGGTTCTCTTGCTTCAGCACACAAGCCTTCTAGCCCACATCATGGGCTTGAGAAAAAAGCCTTGATTAAAAATGTGCAGTTGCTCAGCACTGTTCAAATGAGCAGTTTGGCCTCCTTTTCCTGGCTCAGTCTCCATCTAGATCTCTTTCCTGAAATTTTCCTTTGAAGAGAAGTGGTGTTTTGGTAAAGGCTTAGTTTGTTTTTAATGTCTTTATAAATACTTCCCTCATGTGGATTTCTAGCATTCTGATAACCCATGGATGCTTATAAACAAATTTCTCACACAGTAGTGGAACAAGTAAGGTCAAAGTGAATATGGAAGGTAGTCTTAAAGATCACCGTCCTCTGGTTAGCTGAATACCTGTTTGAATGAAACTTCGAGATAATGAACTAGTCTTGAAAAGGGATGTACTAATTAGAAAACTGTTTACAATGTAGCAGCACACGCTTGTGTGGACAAAGTTCTAAAATTTTCTCATTTCTAAAATCTTCTGATTTTCTAATTTATGATGGCTGCAGCAACATATCCCTAGGCACATTGTTCTTTCACTCATAGTTAAAAACAAGCTTCAGGTCTCAGTTGCATCATTAGGTTTTCTCTGCTACTTGCTTACATCCATAAATGTTAATGCTCTGCATAAGTAATAGATTTTCATGGAGCTGATAAAACTTACAGTATGATTGAAGCCCAACTAATGTTTCACATTTCTACAGGACCATTTTCATAGAATGGTACAACTGACCACAGAGGCCAGGAAAGCATACAAAGATATGGTGGCAGCTTTAGAGGAAGAAGCTGAAGGAGGACTAAGTGAAAAAGCCTCCAGCATCTCAACCACCGAATATGGAAAAAATGGCTCATCAGAAACCAGTAAAGCATCTCCCAGAGAATCTGATGAGGATGTACCAAACTATAGTGAGTATTTACTGACTTATTTTTGTTTCAGTTTTTATTTCTCATCCAAGTTCTCTTCTAATGCACCATTTTTGCTGAAACAAATGGCACTTGACATATATGTGGTCAGTAAAAGAAGAACTCTACTTTTCTGTGATTTTGTTTGTTTATTTTCTTTACAGTTTTATAAATCTGTGGTCAGCTTTTTGCCAAGAATCTCTTAAGATAAAATTGTTTTCTGAAATCCCCTTATTGCAGGTGGCACACACTGCTTTTTCTAAGGAGGCTTCAGAAGAACTCCTTATTATTTCCTTTAAAAAAAAAGTACTTTCCTAGAACTACTCATTTGAACATTATATTGGAGTTAAGTTTTGTACTGAGCTTGTTTGAAATGCATCTTCCTATCCAAAAGTGTTCATGTTGTATAAAGGCTTTGCACTTCCAGGAGCACATATTTCCAGTGCTGCTAATGTGGTCACCACACAGATATCACAGATACCGCATGACTTAATTTCTTGGAAAGTTTTGGAATGTTTTTAGTTTTTGAAAGACAACTTCTCCATCACAGCTGGCCTTCCTTGAGTAAGAGGTCTGGCTTGACAATGAAGTTGGACCAAATGACCTCACTGGTTACCCATTCTCAAACTCATATTGGATGTGATAGGTCTTTCTACTGATGTGTCAGCTTTCCTCAGCACTTACTTTGAGGAGGAAGTAGAGAATCAGTGTGATTTTCATTTTAAGTTTTTCCTTGGATATTATGTTGTAACTTTTTTTTTTTTTTTTCTATTCTAATATTCTGTAGTTAAAATCTGGAAAAAAAAGCTTGAAGAAGAGTATAACCCATATGCCCTGGAATTGGAAAAGAGTGCAACCAGTGACGTGCTGGCGTTGAATTCAGAAGAGCAGCAGTAAATCCAGATTCACTTCCATAGCGCTTTAAGATTTTCTGATAGACCTGTAAATACTGAAATATCTAAAACTAAAGGTCCAGATAGGAAGAGGGCACAGCAAATTAAGATAAATTCAGAAATGCCTGAAGTAAGTCAGCCAGGTAAACTGTTCTGACCTTGAGCAAAAATGCACACTGGGGCACAGGAGGCACTGACTTATTCTCTGGGATTTCTGTGTACTTGGCTGATTACGGTAGCAGACTCTAACAGTGAACAAACTGTCTTCCTCAGAACCACCTGAACTGGCGCTGTCGCCTGTAGTGGTTTAATGGACTTACTTAGCTGGGATTCAGTGGTGGCACCAGATGCCAAAAGAACTTGGTAGAAGGGAGAGAAGGGAACTACCTAGAGGGAGAGAAAAGGATTCCAAGAGCCAGAAGGTTGGGTCTTAGGTGTTTTGCTTTCTATTTTTAAGTCTGTTTTTTAAGAACTTCCTTAAGCTGGTGTATTTTTTGGACGCAGAGGCTGGCTTTGGAGTCGCTGTTGTGCGGGAGGGAAGAGCCGCAGCTGAGGCGGCGGCCGGGCTCACGCTGAGGCCGAGCGCCCCGATGGCGGCGTGGGCAGCGAGCCCCTTCCCCGGGTCACCCTGCCCCACTGGGTGCTGCCCTGCGCTGAGAGCCGGGCCTCTTCCCACAGGGCCAGCACTGAGGAGGTTCCTGCTCCCTGGCGCTGCCGTGAAGGCCGAGTTCGCCATAGGTTTGGCTTTGGAGTTGGAGGGTGTGGAATGGCCAGGGAAGAGCCCAGCCGCCTCTCTCTGCTTCTCCTTTGCTCCAGCTTGGGGTTCTGCCACTGGAAAAGGGAGAGCTTTGAGCCACTCTGGATTGGCCCCTAAAACAGGGAAAACTTTTGCCTTATATAGGAGAGAAGCTTTATAGAGCCCAGCAAGCGCGTAACAGTGACTGAGCCTGTCGGGGGGACATTCCCCGCGTAAATGCAGCTCGCAGAGGGCAGAGGATGAGCCCAGAGACGGCCTTGTGCCCCAGAGGGGACGTCCATCCATGGGCTCCCTGCCTCTGGGCTGCCAGGGACGCTGGGCGCTACAGGCGGCGCTACAGGCGGCGCTACAGGCGGCGCCTCAGCGGGGTGTTTGTGGGGAGGTGCCTCACGGCCTGACCGGCTGTGCTGAGGGGATAGAAAGCCGCCGTCCTGTGGGGATAGAGTGGGGATACATAAGCATATATATATATATATATATATGAAGTATAAATAATTTCAAAGTGCAAATGATTTTGTAGACTGTAAGATGTATAAATAATCTGCTATAATATATTGATTCTATAAAGTTTGGTTGAAGTGTGATTCTTTGTGACTGAAGTGAGCTCTTCTCGGGGAGTAGTTAGTGCAGCTATGAAGTGTCAGCTTTGGGGAACAATGTCTGCAGAGAGTGAACCAGCCTTGGCCTGAAAGGGGCGGTGGTTGTGATCTTTATTTGGTGTTATTTTTACCTAATCTTCAGTGAAGATTGAGGGCTAAAGATCTCAGTGCTGAAGGTGTTTTGGCTGGCAGAAGGTACCCGTGGTACCTCCTTGGCGCTCCTGCCCCTCTCCTGGGTGTTTAAAGCTGCTCAATCCTCCTCCCAGTCACGGCGCGGTCCCCGTGTTGGCTCTGTTTTCCGTACAGCTTTTGTCCCAGCCTGCAGGAGCACTGAGAGTGACTTGGGATTGCGGCTTGCTCAAAATCCTCGCCCCGTTCTAAGGAGAAAGGTGAAGCATCTCTCTTAAGAAACTCGCTATATGGGGTCACCGCTATGTTTACTAATTCTGTTAAACACCTGTTTTTGTCATAATGACTTCAGAGGCATTAGTGTGTTGTCTTGCACAGACTGAGAATGTTTGATGATGGAGCCTTATTGCCAAAACTGATTGGCCCACACACGTGTTCAAAGCAATGCGGATTAGAAAAAAAAGCCTGTGATCTGTTTAATTACAGGTGTAAACAGCTTTGCTTTAGCTTTTGCTTTCTTTCTTGTTATTACAAGAAAATTAAAAATTATGCTGCTCCAGACCCAAGTATCAGAGGGCCTCTGCTGCCTCAGGTAATAAGATGAATTGGTCTGTTTGCTGGAGAAGCTGGTGGGGATAAAATAGTGTGATCCCACACATCTGGCCACTTGAGCAGTGGCACCGCTCTTCTTTCTTCATAGTGGTTCCCTGCCTGTACAAGATTAGCACATACAAACTTCTGACAGCCACTAACCACATGTACCTTTGCAAAGCAAAGCTAAAGGATCACAACCCCTTCCTACTACTTCCAGCCCTCAGTCTCCTAGAAGTCTTACCTTCCTGTACAGTAGCAAAAATAACAATTTATATCTGTTCAAAATTGGTTGAATGAAGGGAAGAGGGAGAGGGACACTTTCAAAGTCATCAAAGATGTCAGAAGCAAAGCTAAAATGAAAAACAGCCCCCCTGGTCCTTGATCGGTCCTTGATGCCCAGAGTTCATGCCAGCATTTCTTTGTCATTGATAATATGAAAGAGGGAAATGGTTCTTGTATAAAAAAATCTGCCCTGCATATGTGATGACAAGATGGTCTCATTGAAAATAAATGGGTTACTCAGAAGAGTCTCAAAGGTTTAAGGATGGAATGCTTTTTTTAAGTGAGAACAGTCCAATTTAAATCTTACTAGTTTGGTATTAATCTGGGGATAAACCTGAAAATTCCTTTGTTACTCGGAGGACAATTTGTAGTGATTCTTAGGTAGAACACACATCATCTTGCTTACATCTTCTTGCTTGTTTTTGAATAACATTGAGAACAGAGAAAAACGGAGAAAAATTTGCCTCAAGCTTTTATTTATTGGTTGCAGAGGAACAAAACTGAACAGCATTGCAGCGGAAGAAGTGGGTCCCCACATTTACAGTCTGCAGTTGTTCACTTAGAATAAGTGAATTCCACACAGTTTTAGTCTTAAAATTCATTGAACATACAGGTGCTTAAACCCACCACCATATCGAAGAATAATTTGCAGTAAATAAACCATTTGCTTTAACTTGAGTACTTTGTAAACTACCTGTACTTTGAGAATAGTCAGGATTAGTCAGAATTTATTTATTGGGTACAGAAACTTCTGTGACCAAAGATATTGGAGCAAAATTAAATCTTAAGTGAACATGCTGACACTAGAAAGGCTTGCTCTTTTAAAACATTAGGAACAGGGCTTAAGGGTAACCATATTGAAATAAACGACTGCGAAAGTGCCTGTAAATAAATGCAATCCAAATCTTACTGATCTCTAATTTGTACGCCAAGACCATCAATTCCAAAAAGGAACTGCTTTGCTCTTTGAACTCAAAGCAAACCATGGAACTTATTGTATTGGCTGAATGGCACAAGACGTCTGTGCCCTTCAGTGAACTGAAATGACAGGACAGAGCTGTTCCAACGCAGGACCAGTCTCTCCGGTGGCAGGTAACTTACTGAGTGGTTCATGGAGGAAATCGCACTTCGGTTTCTTCACAATTCAGCAAATTCTCCTGAATATCAAACCCAGTGCCGGCACAAGCACTTGCAAACACCTCTTCAAATGAAATATGAATTAACTCACATACAGTTCCTGTCCCAGCCTGCTCATTCCTTTGTCCATTAAAGGGTGTTTTTCTTGGTGCAGCTCTCCTGAAAAAGTTTAGAACAAAGTGTTAGCACAAGTTTAAGGTTTTGAAGGTTGCATGTGCTATCTATTCCACCTGCAACAAGTACTTGTCATAGCGAAAGTACGTGGCTATCAAAAGTAATCCCTGTTTCAGCTGTTGGAGAAAAACATAGAAAGCAACATGCAGATTTGTGTTTTAGGAAAGGTCAGCTTTGATGGACAACACTAGTTATGAAGCCTGATGGTCTCTGCAAAACGATTAAGGTCTTACAGATGGAGTCAAATGCACTGAGCTGTGATCAGTGTCTCGCCCTTTTCAGCAGGATGACTTATTTCTTGCTCATTGAGTTTATTGTAATAGGACAGGAGGAGGAAGCTGACAAGGATGAAGGAATAACGTGGAGAATAAATGAAATAGGTCTTACTGTTCCATCCAGAATTACAACATGCACAGGAACACACATCACTTTGTTTTACAAATGCTTTCAGTTGCAGAAATGCCATAACTATTATAAAATCTAGTCAGTGATGTAGAAAGTACATAGCCACAAATTCCTACCCATGTTTTCTTCCAGTGTTGCATCATCTTGTCATGTTCACTAATGGCAGTTCTCCAGCTATCAAATTCTTTGGTCCATCCAACCTGGCCAGCACTACCTGGAAATTTTAAGTGGGATAATTACATAACTAAGTAATAATCCCGTAAGATGATCTAGTCATTGATCAAGGGTAGGGCTTGAGGGAACAAAAGCCACCATCTCGTCCTCTGTCCCCAAGTTATTTAGAAATAACCTCTCTTTGAAGAGTCCCATATTTTCCCTCTGCAGGAGGCCTAAAACCTCCAGAGGAAACAGCTCTGGAGCTGCCTTTTAGAAGAGCTGAATCCCCCTAGGAGCACAGGAATTTTGCAGCTGGATCATATGAGGGCTGGGGAGAGGAAGGACTGGATGTTGCTGATTATTACAACTAGTTGCATTTCCCAGATGCTAGCTTTTCTTGCAGTCTCTACTACTGTGGTGGTGGCATACACACATTTAATAAATATTTTCTATTTATCCTGCAAGACCCTAATGACAACACAATATCCTTTGGACCTCACTGAATGTGGCCCACTGTTTTACATTTACAGTAGTTTGAATGAGATGCTCTTTATTCTGCATCTGGGACTAATTTTAAAGCGATTGGAGTGCTTGGAGGAAACCTGCAACAGGGTTTCCCTTGCTGCTCTCCCTGAAAAAGAGCTGGGATGAGCTGCTCTTGAAAAATTCACATTTTATATTGAGTAGTTACTGAGGTTACTCTAATCAGTGCTGGATGCCTAAGGATGAATTTGTCTCATCCTGGTGGTCAGTCAACTAGTCCACTTCCTACCCATTAGTATCAGCATGAAGAGCTAAGAACAGGCTCCACCTGGCTACAAATTTTCTTTTTTGTAAAAAAATTAGGCAATTTCATTTTTTTAAATAGAGGAGAGGGCACAGAGGTGTCTTTTTAGTATTTGGTTTCCTTGATGCTAAAGCATTCTTCTTTCTCACCCAGCAGAGTTCTTGCAGGTAATTACTCCTTTATAATGCTCCTCAGTACTCAGTACCTGGCTCTCAGTACGTGCCTTAGTTTTTTTGAGGTAAAAAAAGCTTGCGATTTACTACCAAGGCACTTTGTCCCCAAAGGTTCTGCAAGACTTGGATCCCATTTAACTTCTAGATCATATCTGCTAGTCTGCCATTAGTTCTTTGGGAGAGAGAGGGGGAAGAGAGGGGTAGTTTTTCGATGTGTGCAGGCTCTGCGTGGCCCAGTGTGCGAGGGGCGCCCGCCTGCACCCGGCGAGCCGCCCGCCTACCTGCGTGCCGCACGGTGATGAGCACCCGCGAGGCGTCGCGGCCGGCGCGGGCGACCAGGGCGCACTCGTAGGCCGTGCTGCGCGCCACGGCGTCGCTCAGCCAGCCCAGGAGGTGCAGGCGGCCGCCGGGCAGCGGCAGGGCCTGCTGCGCCACGCGCGCGCCCGCCCGCTCGCCGCCGCGGCGCCACTCCAGCCGCGCGTCCGACGGACCTGCAACAGCGGCACTCAGAGACCGGCCGGCCTCCGCGCGGAGCGGCCCCCAGCAGCCAGCGCGAGGCGGGGGCTGCGAGACGAGGGGCCCGCGCCTTGCGTGCAGGGCGTCCCGAGGGCGTCCTTAGGTAAGTGCAGGGGACATGGAAGCTGGGATAACAGCTATTAGGGAGGTTCAAACCGCAGCTGCAAACGAGCTCCTAGGATGGAGCATCTGGGTTGGCCCAAGATGGAGCTCCCCTGCAAATGGGGTAGACCAGGTGAAGAAATCAGCCCTGTCTGCCCCTGTGACTACCTGCTCAGGTAGAGGGAAGGTAATCACGCCTGAAGGAAGGTCCCCTAGCGCCTCACCGAGCTGGGGAGCACGTCTGGGACTGCCCGAGGCACCAGACTGAGGGACAGGAGGGGAAAGGAAAAGGTCAAGAACTCCGTGCATCGAAGATGCGGGAAGTAATGGAAACAGCGAATCTGGAAACGGCGCCGGGCCATTAGTCACAGCAATCGGGCAAGACGGGGCTTGGGAGAAGCTTGGATGAGCAACAAAGAGCAGTGTAATCTTATAGCCTGATTGCCATTACTCATCGTACCTGTGAGGGCAGAATTTGAGTAAATCAGAGATTGACAGTAGCCCAGAGGACAGGACAGCTGTTCCCAGAAAATTAGCAAGCTTGGCCAAAGTGTATTTGGCAACATCAGAGCTTTCACATTTAAAAGAAAAACGCCTATGCCAAAGTAAGAACTCTGCAGCAATACTGGCTATTAAAACACGTCTGTTACTCCCTTGGGGCTCACGATCCAGACTAAGCAACAGAAAATGCAAAGGGGTGAGTGAAAATAAAGGATTTTGTGACATGGCCTGAGGTCACTAGTCCTAAAGAATAGATGTATGTTAGATTATCATGCAAGCAGACAAAAGAAATACATAGTCAGTGTATATTCTCCAAGAAATTACTTAAATTCCTTATTTGAATCTGTGGTACAATCTTCTTAGAACTACTGACGACGACTCTGACAGAAGTGGGGAGGACAAGTGTATGCTAAACCCATCTAGCCTAGCTGGCAGGCACTTTTAAAAATCAATTTTATGGGTGAATGTACTGTTATCAACAGTATGTAGGTCACATGTGGCTAAAAACATGGGAAATCTCAAACCATGAACAAATTATTTCAGCACAGTAAGGCTGAAGTTGGTTTCGGACAAGTGGAAATAACAACAAATATGTGTGAGCACAGTCCCAAGCCATAAATCTTGAATTAAGAGTTAAACTGAATTTAAAAAGTAGGTTTTGAAAAGCTAAAAACCTGCACTTGGCTGTTACAGTGGACTAGAGCTTTTAAGAGATGCAACACCAGATGCTGCTACTGCAGAGGAGAAGTTAAGCAATAGAGCCACTGAGGTCAACCTGTCATCTGGATGGAGGAACAGCAACCAACTTCACCAAGATGAAGAGCAAGAGGAAGGAATGATGGATCTAAGGTCTCAGGATGGGCATTGAGGAGAAATTGCACTCTAACACTGCAAGCCTTCAAATAGGAATTTCCAAAACACATGGTCTACTTACTTTGCCATCCTCTTTAAGAATGCTTGGAAAATTTAAAAAAGCAAACTCATTAATACATGATATTCAAGCAAAGAGTTAAACAGCTAGACAGTCTGGATAGATAATTAGCTACATTTAAATACATTAGTAAATAATTACTGGCAATCGATTTTAACACTGTGACCTCTTTTAAAGGAAGAAAAAAAAATCTTTAAAAAGGTTTTTAAAAAGAAAATCAAAATTTTGATGCACCTTCAGAACTACCCATTTTCTCAGTGTAAGTTCCAGTATTTGTGAAAATGGTTGTTATTTTGTATATGTTTACATTTTCTATACCTCTTCTGTCAGCACTTGGGAGTGAAATGTTTCTGCCCTTGCAGCTCTACAGGCAACCCGGGCTCACTTCAAGTCAGCCAGATTTGCCAAAAAAAAAAAAAAAAACAAACAAAACAACAACAGAAAAAACACCGTCCACTTAAAACCCAGATGGATTTTCCCCTCAAGATCTTCCATAGGAACAAGTCCCACAGACAGAGGTAGTGGTAAAAACTTCTTTAACTACTACTGCTGTTTGCAAAGTTTTTTTTTACCCAGAGTCTAACTTCAGTCACTGAAGTATTGATGTAAAACCCCTATTTTAAAGAGGATGTGAAAAAAAAAAAAAAGAAATGCAGCACAAAAGAGTTGAAACAGCAGCATAAAACTAGACTCAGAACAGCAGGCTTTCAAGAAGGCTCTGGAATACTAATTTAAAGGCAAGAGATTATGGATTAAGTGGAGCTGCTCACTGACATAATAAGGTTGGGGGAGGAGGGAAAATGCTGGACAATCCATTTCCTCCTGCCAAACACCAAAACACTTGGAGATGTGTGCTTGTTTCCGAGCTACCTCGTGAAGCTGTGGGGAAAAAGGCTCAAGAAGTGCTACCATGTAGGCTTTGCTTCAACATGATGCTTTTCCATGCTGTTAGACAGCTCCCAAAGTTAAAGGATGACACTGAAACACGGATTTCCTAGCATTTAGCCGGGGAGGCATCTTGAGGTGGAGGGAGGCGAGCTGGGAATAACAAAGCACGAGTTGCCAGCAAACCTAAACCTCTTAAGGCTCCCTCAATTCAGCTAATCTCCCAATTTAGAAACAGAGCAAAACCCAGGGAGGATAAATGAGAGGAATCCCACAGAGAAATTTTAGAAGGGTAACAAACAGTATTTTTCACAAAATCCCATAATCTAGACAAAGCAGTGCCACCAGAAATGATCTTAAGTGACAGTTTAAGTTCGGAAATGACTCTCCCTTATTCTACAAAAGACATAAAAAAACCTTCAAAAGTTGACAGCAAGCAACAGATTTATAAAAAATAGAAACAGAAAAATTAATCTTAAAAAAATGAGTGACATCTGGGTTTAATGCTCAATATTTAGCTTGCAGCTTTGGCTTTCAACGCTGTACTAAACGTCCCAGATTTCAAGAATATCAAGATGATACAGGAAGCTCTCATCCACAACAGGGATTAAGTTTTAAAAACACACTATAATCTGTGCGCGGCAGGATTATTTTAAAGCACTGATCAAAGCGAGCCCCGGAAGGGGTTAGTCCACCCCTGATCGCTAGCCCGGGCAGGAACCACCAGCAGGGCCCAGGATCGAAGGGCAGCCCTACCAGAGGCCGCTCGGGGCTGTGGAGCCTCCGGCCCCGCTCGCTGCCGCTGGCGAGGAGTTAAGCAAGGCCTCCAGAAGCTGCGGGAGCCCCTGGGGCAGAAAGGGACCCCTAAATTGAGATCCTCTTAACACAGACACCAGTGAATTTTCTGACACCTCTCAGCTTGGGCCTTGCATTTCAGTCTGTGCCCAGGCTAACCATGTCTCCCTTTTTAAGTGCAGTCCATTAGCCTTCCAAAAAAGAAAGTGCAAATAGCTTGAAATTTTCCACAAAAAAAAGCCCAAGCAAAGCAGACCGTTCCCAAATGCCAGCCAGATGATCACTTCAAGCAGCGTCTGCTGCAGGAGGCTGCTGCGCTCCTTCAAAGCTCCAGCGCCTTCGTTTGGTCACTGGTGCAGTCACAAAACACCAGCCCCGCAGGCTGGGGCTGCCCTGTCTGAAGGGATGAAACACGAAGGGCTCGGCCGGAGCCATGAGCCGTGCTCGAGGCGGCAAAGGGCCGCGCTCGCAGTCGCGGGCAAGGCCGGGGGAAGCTGAGCGGGACGCAGCCTCTGCCTGCTCAGCACGACGAGGACGGGGAAGGGGCCGGCCTGTCCGCGGCGGGAAGCCCAGCGCAACCCCAAGAGCCCACGCCAAGGGCTGTGCCGAGGTACCTCTGTGCTGGGGTACGACCCAGTGCTGAGGAACCTTCTTGTTGAGGAACTTCCCAGCACTCAGGCAGGCCCTTGTTGAGGTGTCTCCATGCTGAGGAACGACCCAGGGCTGAGCTAGGCCCATGTTGAGGTACCTCCATGTTGAGGTACGACCCAGCACTGAGGTACCTCCATGTTGAGGTACCTCCGTGTTGAGGTACGACCCAGCACTGAGGTACCTCCATGTTGAAGTACCTCCGTGTTGAGGTATGACCCGGTGCTGAGGTACCTCCATGTTGAGGTATGACCCAGTGCTGAGGTAGGCGCATGTTGAGGTACCTCCATGTTGAGATACGACCCAGCGCTGAGGTACCACTGAATTGAAGTACCTCCGTGTTGAGCTACGGTCCCAGCACTGAGGTAGGCTTGTGTTGAGGGACCTCCATATTGAGGTGTATCTGTGCTGAGGAATGCTCGTGTCAAAGTACATCCCAGCACTGCGGTACTGGGGGCTGAGTGCTGAGCTATGTCCAAGCACTGAGGTACTTCTGTCTTGAGGTACATTCTGTATTGAGGTAAACTCACGCTGAGATACACCCCAGCACTGAGGTGCACGCCAAGGAAGGATTTGCGGCGTGAACCCAGGTCACAGCCACCAAAGATTATTTAGGAGCACTAGTGTTAGTGAGCTGGAACCTGTGACTTTATCTCACTGCATCAGCTAGAGCTCATGTTGACGTTCGTCTTCGAGTTTCCTTGTGTGCTTTGTCCTTCTATCAGCTAACACAACTGCTACATATACATAAGCTTTAAGATCAGGTTGGAAAATGGCTGGAAGAGTTAAAAAGATTTTGACTCTCACTGAGGGGGCAACATGCGTGACATTGTTGAAGCAACTCTGGGGAGCTGTTTTTGCAGAAATGGTTTTTAAAAAATAGTGATATCTAAGTTCCAAATAACTACCAGTTCAGCTGCCATCAGGTTGAGGGATTAATTCCTGTCGACCTACAGGTAG